TGCTGCACGGGTGTCGGGTGTACCACGGGTGTCGGTACCGCCAGCTGCAGCCCGACATAGAAAACCTGGCAGACCTGCTACCTGCCAGCCTGGGTGGGACAAGCAGCCACCACTGCGGGATGCAACGCCGATGTTGCATGGGTGACGGCAGCTCTCCAGGAGAGCTGCGTCAGCCCTATAATCATTACAGAGACATTTACTCTTCAGTAACTGCAGTAATTCCACTTTAATAATTTAACCACCACAAATACTTATCGCACAGTCTGTTGCACATAACTCCTGCGTGATTGATGATGCTGTTTCACATTCTTATCCAGGCTGAAATCGAGAATGATGCAAGAATTACCTTTCAAAATGCTGCTCACATTACCCCACCAGCCTGGTGGGTGGGAGGCTGTGGGGGCCATCAGCAGCAGGAGCAGCCCAAGGCCGCTGTGCCCTTCCTCCCCGGCCACTGCGTGCACTTGTCAAAGGTCTGAAGGTTTTGCTTTGCAGCCTGGGCAATGCTGCCAAGCCCTGACAAAGTACCAGGGGTGGTTTGGAGGGTGGACAGGGAAGGTTTGGCACTAGCTGGGCTATTTATGAAAGCCTGTTTCCTGGGGGAGCCAGTTACCGATTCTATGGTCACCTTCCCCAGAGATGCACAGGAAAAAAAATAATGGGAAAATTGTTAATTATGGGAAATAGCATTTCACTAGGTTTATAATTTTCAGGATCATAGGAATCAACCTGCTGATGGGTGGTAATACTGCACTGTCCTGCACCCTGGGGTACATGAGTGGGGATGTCGAGCAAGACAAGTCATAGTAACCGCCCAGCACAGCCTTAAAGGTAGGTCCTGAAACACCTTTTCAGAATTTGGTGCCGGAGAAGACCCCAGGAGCCATCCTTACCTTGTGTCTTGCTGGACGCATCCCAGAACTGATTATGAAAGTCTTTAAACCCAAGAGGAAGAAATGTTGAATACTGGCAAAGACTCATTTCTTGCAAGGAACAGTGCGATCATTTCACAGTTACAGAAAGTGTAGCCCAGACCCTGGGTATAGCAAACCTCTTACCCATTTGTCTGACAGAAAATGTGGTTGAAAACACAAAAATAAGGACAGATTAAAGTTTGTAGCCAAGCAAAGGAAGAGGACGAAGAGCAATGTGGCAGGTGAGGACCAAGGAGAACCTGGTTTTCTCTACAGTGCGCTCAGGGACTAGTTTTTTCCCATTTCCATTTTTGCAATATGTCGTTTGCTGCCTTCAGTGTGGCTTCCTCCTAAACAAATACCGCAGGTTTGGTCAGTGGCTTCCAGCCAAATCCCCTTTTCCCCCATTGCAGTCATCATTTGTATAAAAATCCCATTCTCATTCTGGAACATCTCAAGTGCCCTGTGTTCAGTATGACACAGGCACAGCCATCTCTGGGGCGGGCACAGCTACTTGGCAGCTAAATGTACACCCAGAAGACTCTCAGCCTTGACCAAGAAATGTGGGATGCTGACGGGGCAAAGCTTAGGATGGCACCGGCACACCTCCTGCCCCCGGCTCTGCTCGCATGTCTGCAGGAGGGCGTTGGACCAGCTGTGATGCCACGCTCAGGCTCTAATGCCCAAGGCGCTCTGCATTTCTTCTTGGCGTTTAGCTCATTAAACCAGCCCTGATTATTATTCCCAACCTTGCCTTCCTTTGTGCTGCCACGTATCTCACCTTTGCGAAGCAGAACCGGATGAAATGGTTGTAGTTGTTCTTGTGGGCCTCACAGTAGAAAGCGGAGAGTGGGATGGTGGCAAGGCCCTGGGAAGAGGAAATACGTAGAGCTGAGGTTACTCTTTCTGGGCTGGCATGGAGCTATGCACTTACTGCTCACAAGTCTCATGGATGGGCTTGTAGATGCCCTTGGCGACCTGTCTGCTCATTCTGCTTGAGCTCAGGCTGCCAGAATTGAGGCCAGCTGCTGACAGACACCCCAGGCATGCCCCTGGATGCTCATCATGCTGGCCCTGACAGTGGCGGTGTGCTGCTGGCTCCCGTGAGCGCAGCCAGCAGGGAGGGCACAAACCCACCCAGGGCAAATGCGGTGGAAAGGGCCAGACACATTTACCTTGTTCTTGACCACCCACTTTGCAAATCTGGAGTCGTAGGGCTCATCGGAGTCGGGGGCATCAGGGACGTCAGATTCTGCAGGAGAAGCACAGCAGCACAGAGGTGGGGGCTGCTGCTGCGTGCCTCAGCCAAGCCCCAAACCCACAGCCTCTGGGAGGTTGGATGGGAAACACGCTGTTGTCCATCCCTGCTTTGGTGGTGGTTTATGCAGGTTCCTATCCCTGCTAATGGCATGACTCTGAGCTGGGCCACCATACTCAGCCCTGCCTGAGCAAAACCGCAGCTGCACGACTCACTGAACTCCGAGATGTCTGCCACCAAGAAGTAGGTGCCCTCGGGAACAATGGGTTTCATCCCCACAGCATCCAGGCTCTGGACCAGCCAGTCTCTCTTCTGCTGCATCTCCTTGGGCAATTGGACGAAGTAGCTTTCTGGTTTCCCATAGAGCTCGAGCTCCCTCTGGAAACCCTGAGCCACAGCCTCCTGTGAGGAGAGAGGAAGCCAGAGGGAAGATGGTGAAGGCTTGCTTCAGAACCAGAGTCTTTGCTCTGATGCAATTCACAGGTGACTAGGGAGCAGGGGGTGATTTCTCACTGCACCAAGCCAAGCTCTCTGCCTCTGGCCCCTCCAAACTGCCCCTTGGATTTGTCAATGCAAAATAAAGTTTATACCCCAAGCAGGCCGGACTCTCCCCTTCCTCTCAGGCATGGGGCAACTGCAAGGAGAGGGGAAGAAGCCTCTCCAGGGCACCACACATCACTCTGTCTGTGCCTTTCGGGTCAGCCATGGGCAGAAGGACCTTCTCTCACTGCTGTTTTGCAGGTTTGGGACTTGCAGGGCCAGTTGCAGGGATCCACCTTACCTGGGCAATTGTGGCGCAGTGGTACACTGAATTTTGGTGCACGGTACGGAGGTGCTGCAGCAGCCGGTTGGGTCCCATGGTCCAACCCACCTGCAGCCAGGAGAGGAGGAGGAAGGTGGTAAGCCTCTGGGTACCTGCTCAGGCTCCCCTTTATTTGCCTGTGCTGGCTTCATTGTATTTTCCAGACAGCTATCATAAAGCAGCTTTGATACGTTCAGACCTGACTCAAAGCTGAGTGTGTGGCAGCAGTGTCCCCAGTGCCATGCTATGGCAGTGGGATCCATGCCCTGGAGCAAAGGGAAGGGGGTGCGACAACGAGGTGCCACACAGGGGAATTCACCTTCCATCCAGTGGCACTGAAGGTTTTCCCAGCACTCCCGATGGTCACCGTGCGGTCCCACATCCCTTGCAAGCTGGCTGGCAACACAGCAAAAGAGAAACAATGATGGCAGAGCTCAGCGTGCTTGCTTCTGGACTGCATTAATAACAAGGTGAGAGCTTTTTGCCCACAGTAACCCATGGTGGCCTCTTGTGTTCACAGCACATCTTTCACCTGGATGAGCCTCAAAGCACATCCCAAGCAGGCGGCCAGGTTTCTCAAGAGCATCTCATTGTAATTAAGTGTTTTCATATGCATGTACCCAGCCCCAGGGGTTCCCAGAAGTGCCAAGCACCATTACCCTGCAACAAGGTGATTGCATGTTGCTGCAACAGGAAGAACAGGCCTCTGAAATCGTGTTGAAATGGATGCCCCAAAATTAGAGACACCAGAAAACTGTGTTTTTACAACATGTGGGGAAAAAAAAAAAACAGTTTCTCTGGAGCCAAAGGGCTCTTTGCTCTGGATCTCACACTGTGAAGCCAACTCTCTGTTTCCTCTGACTGGCTCTGGAAGTCAGGGCTCCAGTTTAAGACCTGGTTTGAAGGCTGAGACTGAAGTGCAGCAAAATACCTCTAATGGGGATACATGCCTGGTAGAGCTGTGCATGCAAGCAGCCCAGGTAATTTCCAGGGACCCCAGTTAAATCACGAGTTCCTTCCCTGAAGATGCTGTACCCAGAGAATACATCCAACCTCAGCCAAGCCATTCTCCATACCGATGCGGATGTGCTCCTTCCCATCGTACACCAGCCTCTCGTACACTTCATCACTGATGCACAGGACATCATGCTTCACACACAGATCTGCAATGAGCTCCAGCTCCCCTCGGCTAAATACCTGCAGCAGGCAGGGAGTGGATCAGAGATGCAGCAGGAGCGTTTCTGAGCCTCTGCCTGTCCCCGCCTCTCTGCAAAGTCTGCATGCCCTGCCTGCACCATCTCCCAGGCCAGGGTGGGCAGGAGCTGGCTGCAATGGTCTAAAAGGGCAAAGCCACTGCTGGCACAAAAGACCAGGCTTAAAAACACCAAAAGAGTGGGTGCAGTATGCAGTGCTGCCACAACACCCATTTGCCTCCTGTGCAAGGAAGGTCAAGTGACTGCTATGCTGCAAATGTGGCTCGGTGAGCAGTAGCAGTCCAGCTGCTTTCAGAGCCAGCCACAGCAAGGCCAGAGGTGTTACCTTGCCCAGAGGGTTGTTGGGTGAGTTCAGGACGATGGCTTTTGTCCGTTCACTGAATTTAGAAGCCAATTCACCTGGGTCCAGCTGCCAGTCTGCACTAGACATCAATTTTCCATCTTTCGGAGCTTTCTAGAGAGAACAGAGGGGAATCGCAGCTTGCTTTGCTACCTCTGCACTTTGCTTACCATTCACCTCTTCGCTCCCTCCTCGACAGCTTTGTTCCGACCCACTCACCGGTCTCAGTGGGACAAACACAGGCATCCCACCAGCCATTTTTGCCATTGGCTCATAGCAGTCGAAGAAGGGCTCAATGATTATCACCTGGAAGAAAGGGACATGTCAGCGCCCTCCTGGCCCTGCTCAGACCTTCCGTGATGGGTGCAGAGAGCAATGGGAGGGACTGGAAATTTTAATCCCTGAATTATTGCAATGCAGAACCTGCATTGCCAGTGGGCAGTGCCAGGGAAAAACAACATCACTCAGGGCAAAACTGTTATTTTGGTTTATGCAGAAATGAAACAGTGCCCTGCAGCAGAGAGTTTTTTCTTTTGGAAGCTCAAATATTGGATAATGGGGATAAAACCTTTTCTGCTTTGCAAAAGGACTATGCAAACCTCCCCCTGGCAGACTCATAGCCAGGAAGGGCTCTCCTGGGGGAAGGCTGCCTGTGCAACAAGCCCAAATCTTGGGTTACCTCATCGCCTTCGTCAATGAAAGCCTGGAAGCAGCAGAAAAGGGCCTGGTATGCCCCCACAGTCACCATCACATTGGTCATAGGATCCAGGTCTCGTCCAAGCAGCTTCCCAAAATACTGGGCTAGGATCTTCACCAGAGGTGGGTGGCCCTGTGGGGTGAGAGGAGGGGTGGGATTTGGGTTGCAGAAGCCTTCTCAAACATGGATGAGCCCTTGGAAGGGGTCTGGGCAGCCAAGTGCCCTGTGACAGAGCGCGTGGGGCATCTTCCAGCCTGGCTGCTTCAAACGCCCTGGTAAAGCAGGGTGTTACAGCCCTGGGCACGGGGGGCCTGGCCTGAGGCTGGATGCATGTTTTGCCTCATATGGTTTGCTCTGTTTATTGCTGCCTGATGAGCCCTGAAGCGGCCAAGGCTAATGGGGAGTGAAGGGGTTATTGCCGAGGAGGGGGGGTCTGTGCACGCACGAAGGCACGGGTGTACTGGTGCAGCATATGGTTCTCCCTGCTGAGGGCTTTCATGAACGCCTCCGTCAGAAAGTCCGGTGGGGAGAAGTCGGGGAAGCCCTGGCCCAGGTTCACTGTGGAGTAGGTGGTAGCCAGTTTTACAAACTCCACCCTGGAGAGAAGAAAGACAAGCATTTACAGAGGGTCTGGGCAGCACGCTGGCACTGACTCTGCTTGCCAGCATCCCTTTGGAAGTGAGCAAGGTTGGTGTCCCTCCTGCAGAGCCATCCTGCTGCTCACAGGTGGGCAGGACCAAGCACAGGTAATTTCAGACCCATTTCAATTAAAACAAGGGTGAGCCACGATTGCACTGGGGAGTGGTTTTAATTCGAAGGAAAGATCCATTGTGCTGTCTGGGTGTGTGGTCACAGCTGAAGCTGTGCACTGCTTCTGATCAGACCAGACCGAGCAGGAGAGGTCTCAGAGATTTTCAAGTTCATATCAGTTCTGCGAAATTTAGCAACTGGGCACCATGAAGGCCTCTGCAGAGGGAAAGGCAAGCTGAACTCAGCATTTGTCTCACCCAAGAGCCGGCTCATCAGCAGTTTGTAGCTTGAAACCAGGCTTGAAACCAGCAGCATGGCTTTGGGGAAAGTCCATTTAAATATCTTCTTCAAACATGCAGTTTTCCCAATGCCATGCTGTGCCTGGCAGGCTGGAAATGGCATTTGCAGCATCCCTTCGCTTGTCTCTCTGCTTGCAGTGCCCTAGGGTGGGCTTGAAGCAGACGCCAGGCTGCAGCCACTGTGCTGCAACCATGTGGCTCAGATTTGGGTGCTGCTGGGATCATTCGGGCAGATGGGTTGGATGGAGTGCAATACACTACAAGGTGCTTCCGCCTGCCTTCCCACAGGACGGTGTGGGACACCTGATACGGCATGAAGTGTGAGCAGCAGGTACAGAACTCAGCCAGGGTAAAGCCTCCTGGGACAAGCTTGCCCTGATGCGCTTCCTGAGCAAATGCAAAGCAGTGGAGGGAGACTGCTGCTCTGCGCTATGTGGCTGTGGCGGTTTCTATCTGTTGGTGTTGGGCTGCCTAAAACCACATTTACCACTGGGGTAAACCAGATGCTTTCTTAACTCACCAGATATTCTTATCTGTTCCCTCCAGCCTCCGAGCTTGCACTGGCCTTGACATTTTCGCCTGCAAAGAGAGAGAAAGAAAGTGAGTTTGAAGCTTTTATTAATGGCAATGGGGCCACGCACAAAGGGGACATGGCCTCTCCAGGTATGTTTTTCCCAGTAGAAGGTGTGCCCTTTAGTATTGCCTCATGGGCTGTTGCTGACCAACCTTAGAGCGGTAACAGCGTTGCAGTGGTTTCTGGAAAAAGCTTCACATACTTTTATGAAAGATCAAACAGACCAGAACTGGCAGAGAAGGATGTTCCGTTTACAGGTTTCAACAAGAATTCAGAAAACAGATGAACAAAAGAAGCGTCTGTACACTCACTGGGGAGCTGGCAGTGCCTTAAGCCTCAATTTTCAGTTGGAATAGATCACGGGGTCAAATGAGCTCAGCCAAGCTGTAACAGCCAGGCCAACGACCCCAGACCTCAGGCTTTTGCCTTCCATAGCCTCTCTTGTCCTCCATCAGAAGGACCTCCTTGTTCTCTACACGCCACAAAATATCCCCTTTTCCTAGAAGAAAAAACTTTTTTATTCCATACTGCTCTAAGGAGTAGTAGAAGTAGTATGTGCTCCTTTGTCTTCCTGGAGCCCTCGGTGAAGGAAGTTGCTCTAGATCCTAAGCAAAACACTGATTTCTGCACCTAAAGTTCAGGGCAAAACCAGGCAGCAGCTGGGTACGGGCAAGAGGGGAGTACAGCACACAGGCCAGTCTGATGTACAGAGACACCAAGGTACCGTTCACCTAGTTGATACCTAATTTCCACGTGCATCATGGCTAGCGGTGGTGGAAGGAAGGACAGTAGGAAACTTTGAGAGCAAAATCCTCCTTCCAGTCAGATAAGCACAGTGGGAGAAAGTCAGATGTGCTTGATGGGGGATTTATCATGAG